GAGCTGTCGCCTGGATGAGGGAACTTGCTCCCGCATGCTCGTCTCTGGGTTTGGTGAATGGGGAGAGTAACGGTGTCACTTGGCGTGGCTTCGAAGATCCCGTGAGGTAACGCCCTGGAATGCCTGGCTTCCTGCCCCGCCTGCTGTCACCAGCCACAGGCGGCTGCAGCAAACGGAGCCAGCAGCCACACTGGACGCTCTCCCAGCCCCGGTGCAATCCCTGCAGAAAGCAGGGCTCAGGCCCCAGCCTGGGAAGGAAACTCCGTTCTTCAACCCTGTTGCCCTCCCTCACCCCGAGTGCCTCCTGCACATCATCCTTGTCCTGGGGCGTCCTGACGAAGCCCCGAGTGAGCTGTTCTCACTCCTTCTGTAAAGAAGCCCCATTTCTTTCTCTGGGTATCTCCTCAGGAACCAGGGCTGCTTCTCTCCTCCAACCCTAACTGTCCAGCAAAGGAGGCCCATGCGGGTTGACCAGACCCAGGAGGGGCATGGCCGCCCTTCCCCATGTCTTTACAGGGCCTGGTAGCAGATGGGCAGTAGGTCAATCACTGGAGGGTGTCACTCATCATTGCAGCAGTGCTGGGTCCCCCAGCTGCCTGTGCTGGCGGGGCACGGGACGAGGCTGGGGAAGGGGTCCCACAGCTGCCCCCTGTTCCTGGCGTGGAGCCCCCACCGTGGCCGGGCTGGATGCCACATTCTGAGCTGACACCAGACCTGACCTGGCACCTTCTCTGTGCAAAGCGGCCCTTGAGGGCTGCAGACTTCCCTGGTGGCGGCGCCTGGGGGCGGAATGCTGTCTCAGGGCCGGTGCGGTTCCCTCCAACCCTGGGGAGGCAGGAAGGGCACTGAACTCAAAGTTACAAGCCCTTGGCTCCAGTCTCACCTCTGCCCTGCCAACCCAAGTGGCCTTGGGCAGGTCACTTCCCCTTTCTGAGTCTTGCCTTCACCTGGAAAATTCGGGCGCTGACCAGGGGATTTCTGAAGCCCCACCCAAGACTGCTGGGGTGCGGTTCCGACTTCCGCTGGTCCTGCTGACAAGGGGGGCTGTGTGCTGAGACCCGGAGAGGGTCTCTGCCTCTGTCCCTCCAAACTCTGGAACACAGGGGCTTCCCTCAGCTGAGGCCTGGGTAGCCGGCTCCTCTGGTGGGCAAGGAAACCCTGGAAGGCCTCCCGCCAGTCAGACAGGAGAAAAAGCACCTCCCAAACAGGTGGGCGCTAGATTCTAATGCTGTACGGGTGCCAGAGGCTCAGGGGCAAGGCTTGGTGAACTGTGGCCTTGGCCACATCTGGCCTGTTTTATTTATTTATGTATTTACTTATTTATTTATCTATCTATCTGTTATTTAAAACAATTTTTTATTTAGTGACTTTTAGAGAGGGAGAAATATCAGTTTGTTGTTCCACTTATTTATGCATTCACCAGTTGACTTCTGTATGTGCCCCGGCAGGAATCGAACCTGCAACCTTGGGGTATCAGGACAATACTCTAACCAACTGAGCTACCTGGCCAGGGCCCAAATCCAGCCTCTTTTAGTATGGGCTATGAGCTAAGAATGTTTTGTACAGTGTTAAGTGGCTGGGAAAAATCTTCACAGAAGAAAATAATATTTTGTGACACTTGAAAATTATATAAAATTCAAATTTTCGTGTCCACAAGTAAAGACCCTCTGGAACGCAGCCATACCACACTAGTTGTTCCCGGCTGGCTGCAGGCTCCTGCTGCCAGAGCGAACCACAGTCGCCCCAGAGACCGAGCAGCCCCCAGAGCCTGAGTGCCGGCTGCCGGGCCCGGGCAGGAAGCGGCTGTGACCCTGCTCCACATAACCATGCTTCTCCCAAGGCTTCATGGAGCAGGTCTGGGGTCGCCACCTAAAAATGCTTTCTTTTCACTTAAAAAGAAGTGTCACTTCTTTTAACACGCGCAGTGAATGTTTGTTATGGCACTATTACATGATGCACATAAGCAAAAGGAAGATCTTAACATCACCCACAGTTCTGTGCCAGGGATGACTACTGTTAGCGTTCTAACATCTGTCTTTCTTGATTATATGCAGAGTTTGTATGTATCTGTCACATGTATGACACTCGTGTATATTTAGCACACATAACAGCTTTTACAAGTGGCACACATCTGTCTTTTTTACCTAAAAACACATTTCAGCCCTGGCTGGTGTGGCTCAGTGGACTGAGTGCAAGCTACAAACCAAAGGGTCGCCGGTTCGATTCCCAGTCAGGGCACATGACTGGGTTGCAGGCCAGGTCCCAGTGGGGGCCACGTGAGCGGCAACCACACATTGATGCTTCTCTCCCTCTCTTTCTCTCTCCCTCCCCTCTCTCCAAAAATAAATAAATAAAATCTTAAAAAAAATACATCTCAAACAGTTTGTGACCCTTGACTGTCCCGGGCCCAGTGAGGGTATTCCAGACAGAGGTGCCTGGCCGGCAGTCGGCCCTGCCTTGGTGAGACTTGGGCTTGGTGGGGCCAGAGTCATGAGCACATGGGTGGTGGTTTCCACCACTGGGGAACATGAGGTCACCAGGAAGAGTGCGTGGAGGTGGAGGAACAAAGGGCCGAAGCGGGAACTCTGGGGAGTGCCGACACCCGGGGACAGGGAGAGGAAGTGAGTCCACCGGATGCAGAGGGAGCACAGAGCAGGAGGAGAAGCAGAAGGCCAAGGGAAGGGAAGACAAGGTGTAGAGCCCAGGGCAGCGCCTGGTGCCAAGCAGCTAACTGTGAAGTTAGAAAGTGACTAGAAGACACCAGCACCTCCTTCAAGAAGCCTGAGCTCTTGCATAGCCTGTGTGGCTCAGTGGGTTGGGCATCTTCCTGCAAAGTGAAAGATCACTGGTTGGATTCCTGGTCCGGTCACATGTTTGGGTTGTGGGTTCTGTCCCAGTTGGGGTGCATATGGCAGGCAACTGACGCTTTTTCTCTCACATCATTGTTTCTCTCCCTCTCTTCCCCTCTTTCTAAAAAATAAATAAGTAAAAAAAATGAAGCCTAAGCTACAGGTAGCAGGTGCCACTGATGGGGACAATTAGAGAACAGTTGGCACACTGGGAGATATCCAGAGGCTTCCTGGAGTGTTCCTTGGAGACAGAGAGGAGCATGGAGGTGGTCCCGGCTGAGGTGGTCCAGGCTGAGGAGCATGTAGGTGGCCCAGGCTGAGGTGGTCGCCTGGGCCCAGCCTGGTACCAGGGAGACCATCTGAGTATGAGGAGGCAGCTTGAACAACGTCAGCCAGAGGGCTCTGCTGGAGTGCGGGCGTGGGGCAGTGTGGGCCAGACTGGGGCGTGGGGGCTGGGAGTGGAGTATAAATAGGAATATGGTCTAGAGATGCTGGGAAACCCTTCCCTTGGCCCTCCCTGAGCCCGAGACTGAGGGGTCCCCAGGGACACCAGAGCTCAAAGGCCCCTGCAGTTCTGTTGCTAAAGTTGGGCATAGAAAGAAAGCCAGAGAGATGTTAACAAGGGTCCCATGACAGGTCCTCGTATGTGGAAGAGGGAAGGCCAAAGAGCGGGCGAACTAGGTGCTTTGGGTTTCTCCTCCTACTGATTTGTGGAAGATGGGAGTGTTGGCACTGCGCTTAAGCAGATGGAGAGGAGGCAGATGTGAGCGCTTTCCTTTGGGGGTTAAGAAGACCTAAGAAAAGTTTCTGACCTTTGGAACTTTGAAAGCCCTGGGCAGTAGGTGAGGGGCCTCTTTGGGGGTCTTTAACAAGAGCTGGTAAGAGGAGCGGGGAAGGGCCTCCTGTGCCCAGGAGGTGAGGCCGGCCTGGCCTGGAAGCAGGAAGATGTGGGGACGGAGGGCATGCTTCAGCTCTAGGCCCGGAGGTTCTGTGCGGCCAGGACCCCAGCGGACGGAAGGGCGCCTGGTTCCATGTTATCACTGGGAAATCCAGAGCTTCCCCGAAGACTGCGGGCCAGCTTGAGCTGGGCCTCCAAAAAAGGTCAAAAAGAAAATACCAGAAGACAATCAATGTGCCTCTGTTTCTTGAGCCTTAGGAAGCCAAAGAGAGCAACAGAGTATCAGGAGGGCCCACAAGAGGGGCTGGAAATGGGGCAGTCAGAGAGTGGGGTGGGGCGGTCACCTATAGGGGTCAAAGCCAAAGTCTGAGCTTGGGTAGTGTACTTGACCCGTGAGTTCCTGGGAATCACCCCTGAGGGATGGGAGTCCCTGAGGAGGGCCCCAGGGGCCTGCCAGCCTCCCTGCCCATGAGCCCTAGAGGCCTAACTTCTTGGGTTCTGGTTGGAATCTCTCATTAGGGTTTCCCCATCCCTAGTCCATCCGTCACTGCGGTGTGGCACCTGCCAGCCGAGACCTCTGCAGGCCTCATTTAGGAAGTTGCTGCCAAGCAAGAAGCTGCCCCCTTTGCCCCAGTGCACCATCGCCCCACTGCCATTGGGGCCCAGAGCTGGCTGGGCAAGAAGGGTTAGGGCATGGCGGAGGCTCCAAGTCCAGTGGGCAGCTGATGGTTTCCTGTGGGTCCTCTTGCCTCCAAACAGCTCCTGGACCTAGGAATTCACAGCTTTCGAATATTGATTCACTGAACATGTGATGGTTCGCTCAGTGCCAGGCCCTGTGTCAGGCCGTCCTTGCCCTTCACAAGCTCGCAGGTGAGCCAGGGAAAGGGACAAGTGAACAGGACAGGGAGGAGCCAAGGGCTCTGCTTGGGCCGGTCCACACGCTGTGGGAGCACAGTAGGGGGCTGACTGGCTGCTGGGGGGAGGGGGGCCAGAACAGGAGGGGCAGAGCAGGCAGGGGTTTATGTTGAGGGAGGGAGATGTTGTCCCTGGATTGGTCGAGCCTTGAAGGTGTGAGCACTTTGCTGGCTTTTCCCTAGTCCCTGGCCGGCCACCCTGGTGTCCCGCCCAGAGCCAGGACAACCGAGGTGGAACCACACCCCAGGGAGTCTAGGGCTGGTTGGCTTGCTGCGGTGTGTGCAGAAGGAGGGCAGAGCCAGGCCCGCCCCAGGGGTGGCTAGCTGCAGAGTGGGGCTGGCCGGACCAGCAGATAAACCGAGACACAGGTCCCTGGTAGGCCCAAAGTTCAAGGAAGGGGACCTGCATTTATTGTATGCAGTGTCCTGGAGGTTCAGGTGACTGAAGGTCTGTCCGCAGTGGACCTAATGTTTGTACATCTGTGGAGGAAAGAGTCTAACAGATCGCTGTGGTGTAGTGGCCAAGGTCTAGTGCAGCGGTTGGTTCACTTGGTCCGCAAACATGGACTGAGCACCGAGGAGGTTCCTGACGTCGACAGAACGAGGTTGGCCGCTCTTGCCCTGAAGGATGTCACAGTCTAGTTTCGAGTGTGCACCGGCTGCTCCGGAAGCCACGAGGAGGGGGCATCTCGCTTCACGTAGAGGAAGCGTGTGGCGTCACATACTAAGCTTCTCAGGGGAACGACACTTGAGTTGAGTTTGGAAGTGGTTTTACCCAGGAGGGCCGGGCCCAGGGAACAGCACATGTGGAGCTGTGGGGCGCCAGCGCGGTCTCCTCTGCGAACGCCCAGCACGCTTGCTCCTCGAAACTGGACCCTCCAGGACGGGTGAGAGATGCCGTAGGAGACAGGTCACAATGCAAGAGGCCTGGTCTGCTGGGCCCAAAGTTTGGACTTTTCCCCAGGGCAGTATTGTACTGAAGGGTTGTGAGCAGGGGAGTGGCATCACCAGAAAGCCGCTGAGGATGTGAAGGCCCCCAGACGAGTAGCAGTTGGACGGGAGGTTAGGAATTACTAGGAATTATCCCCATTCAGTGGACGAGGACACTGAGGTGCGGGTGTCCACCCAGGTCGCAGTGCAAGCAGGTGGCAGAGCTGGGATTTCTTTCGCGACCCCAGACTTCCGAGGGTTTTGGAGAGCAGGCCTGGATGGCAGGGGCCCTCACTGTAGGTTATTCCATCGGGGGGTGCGGCAGGGGTGCCCTGTGTCCCAGACGCCTCGTCTCCTGACCAGTCTCCTGTAGGTTAGCCTGGCTTGCTCCTGGAGACCTCCCCCGCCTGCTTCCTGCTTTCCACGCAGAGGCTGTGGGGATCGTCTCTGAGGTCCGTCACTGTGTGCACGGGATCTGCTCATTGGCGGGATGGTTGCAGGCCTAGCTGTCTCCCTAGATTCTTGCCACCCAGAAGGCCGCAGGCTGGCAGCCTCTCTCATCCAGGCCGGAGCTGGGGTGGGGCGAGGTCAGCGGTGAGGGCTCAGAGCTTCTGCTTCTGCCCTTGCCTCCCAGCGTCAGGCAGCGTGGGGTGACTGGCTTCCCCTGAGGTTCGCAAGCTCGGAAACTGCAGCCTCCAGCTCCCTGCAGGGCAGGGTCAGTTAGAGGGTGGAGGAAGCGATGCTATCTTCAGGCTCCCTGCAGGCTCCCTGCAGGCACGGTTCTCCCGGGGAGGAGGGAGTGTCTGAAGTCTCAGCTCATGACGTTTGCAGACTTAGTCAGCCGTGGCCTCTAGTTCTTTTGAAACCTGCCCAAAGCCCCATGTGGCTGAGTGACCGAGGTGGGGGCGGGGAGCAGGCAGCAGAGGGTATCATGAGGATCCTGGCCTGCGGTCAGCCTCCGGGACTAAAGGTCAGATCCCCTGGGCCTCAGAAAGGGGGCAGGTGGAAGTTACATCCTTCAGCCCCTGTGCCTGGGCCCACAGAGACTGAGATCTAAGAGAAAATGAAGACAGGAGTTGAGGAAGCATCTGACATGTACCTGGAACACAGCGCATGCTCCACAGGCTGTGAAGCAGGCATCCCTGCCCTCTGTATGTCACCAGTGTGAGGCAGGGGATCAAAGCGGTCCCGTGAGTTTGTGCGCTTTAGGGGGGCACCCAATGGTCCTGGGGGTTCAGGGAAGCCTCTGAAGATCTGAGACCTGAACTGCATGCAGGGGCATGGCCTGGTGCAGAGCTAGAGTGATGGGGAGGCGGGAGAGCAGAGCCAGAGAGGAGGGGGCGCCCAGATCTTGAAGGACCGTGAGCGCAGGCTGGGAAGTGGGGCTTAATCCTGGAGGGTTCGCTGGGGAATCTGCAGTCCCACTCTCTGGAGGCTAGGAAGTGAAAGTGACCCCCACGGCCCTCACCAGGGTGCAGCCAAGCTTCTGTGAGGTGGGGGCCGCTGCCAGCTTCCCTGGATAATCTGCCAGCCTCCTTCTTGGCCTTGTGATCTCCTGGTCAGGACCCCCCAGGTGTCCCAGCCCTAGGGCAGGTGTTAGGTCTGGGGCCTGGCACAGGTTGTCCTGGACAATGGCCCTGCGGGGCCAGTGGGGCCTGCTCTGGGGAGACAGCTGCCCTCCGAGGGCAGGGTGAGATCTGTGCACCGGGAGGTCGGGTCCCCTGGCCTGTGCGCACCTCAGTCTGAGTTGGGGAGCCCTGCCTGCCTGGCCTTTCCTTCTGGTGGCTCTGGCCCACCAATAGTTGACCACGTTCCCTGCATCCCACCCCCCTTCCATGCTGGGGTCTCAGAGCACCTTCCCGGCTGTGCGGATGGCTCTGAGGGCTGTGGCTGATGAGCTCTACATGCGACCTTTTGTCCAGCATGTGCTGTCTGAGCAGGTGCTTGAGAAGAGAAAAGTGGAGGGGAGAGCTGACGTTTGCTGGGCGTCTTCCCTGTGCTCATGTTGTGTCATGTCGGCGCTCGCAGAGTGTCCACTCAGACGTCCGCTGGACACCAGACACTTGCTCCAAACCCCACTCCTCCCCAGCCCACAGCAGCCTCTGCTTGCAGCTCCATCCTTCCTGTCGCTAAGGCCCAAACCCTCAGGGTCCTGCCCAGCTCTCGCCTCACAGTCCATAGGCAGTCCTTCCGAAGGTCCCCTCCTGGCAGACTCCTCCATAGCCCCACCACTGCTCGCCCCCACTGCTCCCAAGCAGGCCAGAGACACCACCACCTCTCTGGGACCTCTGCGTAGCCTCCTGCCCACACAATCAGTTCTCAACACCGCAGCCAGAGGGAGCCGTTTAAAATCTGCGGTAAGGGAGATCACATCACTCATCTGCTTGAACCCTCCCAAGTCCCAAGGGGCCCTGACGTGGTCTGTTGTGCCTGGCGCCTCCTTTCCAGCCACACAGACACGTCTCTCCAGTTCTCACTTCTGCCCCAGGGCCTCTGCTCCCGCTGCTGCCGTGCTGACCTGCTTCCCCAGATTCCCCATGACCAGCTTCCTCCCTGTGCCTACTTGGGGCTTTTCCAAGAAGACGTCACCTCCTCAGGGAGGCCTTCCTACTATCCTGGTTACCATTGCCGTGCCCCATCCCCCTTTCGGGCTTTATTTCCGCCACCACACTTCTCACCACCCACCATTGCATGTTGTATTTGCTTTGTAGTCCGTGCTGCCCCTCCCCACCTTTGTTAGAACGCAAGTGCTGTGAAGGCAGGAATGAACCCTCTGTTTTGTTCACAAGACTCTCAGGGTCAGTAACGCTTCCCGGCACACAGTGGCTGTTCAATAAATAGTTGTCAAATGTGAATGACCAGAGCCAAAGCGAAGAGGCTATAGAACTTACTCACCATCAGACAGCCTGCGGGTGGCAGCACCAGAATCTAAACCTGGGTTTGTCTGGCTTCTGATTCAGAGTAGGGATGGAGGGGACCTGGAGGAGAACAGAGTGCTCACAGCCTCGGCCACCGGCCACCGGGAGGGGCAGGTGGGGAGCTTTCCAGCCGAGAGCAGAGAGGAGTGATGTGGCCTCTGAGTCTGCATGCTCAGCCGCACCAGGAAATGGCCGCATGATTTGAGCAAGTCAGTTCCCCTCTCGGAGCCCTGGCGTCCCCGCGGGCCAGCGAGGGGCTGGAATGGGGATCCGTAAGCGCCTTCCGCTAAGGTTCCAGGACCCCAGCCTTTCCTTGCTGGGGGCACGATGGCCTCTGGGCAAGTGGCCGTTTCCTCCTGGCCTGACTCCTCCTTCCTCCTGTGCCATCCACTTCTCTGGTGCCAGCAGGAAGTGCTGGGAGGGCCAGTGTGCGCCCGGGAGGAAGTGACAGGAGGCAGGCCGAGGACTTTTTGGACGTACCTGAGCAGGCAGCAGGAAGAAGGCCTGCTGGGTGGTCCACCTGTCCGCCCCACAGCTCCTGAGAGGGCTGCGCTTCCCCACCCCCACCCCCACCCCACCCCGACCAGGCCTGCAGCCCCGCAGCCCCGCAGCCCCGGACGCTGTCTCCTTCTTCCCCTGGCACCAGTTGCACGGGGACAGCCCCAGATGGCTCTATGACCTGGGGACAAAGGCCACACTGTGCCCAGCCCTGGGGTGGCCTCAGGCTGGGTCACACTGAGCCCTTCTGTCCCCATATGGGGGTGGGGGCAGATGGCACAAGGTGACAGGCCATTTTCCCAACTCCCTTCCCCCTTGACCCCCTAATCTGAGGAGCTGACTCTCCCAAGAGAAAAGTGACAGAGGCATCTGTGTCTTGAGCTATGGGACAACAGGCCATTCACTGCCCAGGCTGCCCTGTCACACCCAAGACCCCGCTGGGCTCAATGCCCCGATTGTCCCCTGCAGAGAGAGGCAGCTACTCTCGGCTGTGGTCACCACCCCTGCCACCTGCCCCCGTCACCATCCGGAAGTCCGTCCCCACGCCGGACCTCCATCAGCCCTACACCACTGACAGCCACTTCCTCCTGGTCTCTCCTCAGGCCAGTGGAGACCAGCTGGTCCCCAGCCCTCCACACTCCCGGCCCCACGTTCCCGCTTGAGTCAGCTGTTCCCAGTTACACCCTCCCTATGGCTCCCTGTCCCATCATCCCCTGCCCTGCCCAGCCCAGCTGGTGGCTCCTTGCTTCTAACTGAACATGAAGAGAGCAGGTATGGCTAGGTCTCCTTGTTCCTGCAGAAATTGGGGGCCTTTCCCCCAAAAAGCTTTCAGTGAGCTCCTCTGCCCCTCCTACATGGGCGCAAGCAAGGCCATGAGGTGGATGGTGGTTACTGGTGGATTGCCGAGTCACAGGCCCATCGCTCCACCCCCTAAATCTCAGGCTGCAGGACGGCTTTACAGGGGTTCCCTGTTGTTAGAAGCGGGCATGGCTGGGCCCCCTTGTAGAGCTCAGAGCTCAGGGATCCCAGGGCCTGGCTCCACCCACACCCACGGATCATCATGATTGAGCCTGGGCTGTCCGTCTGTTCCAGGCCATTTCCTTCCCTTCTTGGGGCTCTCCTGCGCCTGCCCAGCTCCAAGGGGTCCCCGTCTCAGCCAGTGCGGCAGCCCAGAAACCCAGACAGGTCACTCTCCCTCACCTGGGCCTCAGATGTTTCCCCACCATGGCTCCCTGTCCAGATCACTGGGGATGCTTTTTAGTTTTTGTGTTTTGTGTATTTCTTTTAACCCTCACCCAAGGACATGCTTACTGATGTTGGAGAGAGGGAGAGGGAGAGAGAGAGCATCTATCGGTTGCCTCCTATGCGTGCCCTGGACACCAAGCCTGCAACCCGGCCATGTTCCCTGACCAGGAATCAAACCCACGACCTTTTGGTTTGTGGGACGACGCTCCAACCAGCTGAGCCACAGTGGCCAGGGCTGGGATGTTTTTAAAAGCTACATTTTTCCGGTTGCTACCCTCAGAGCCTCAGTTCCAGAGTCTGAGGGTGAGACCCAGGAACCTGAATTTTTTACAGAACGTCCTGGTGATGCTGATGTTCAGCCAACATTGTAAACAACTGACCCATGTGCTGGGGACATCTCCTCTGCTGTCACGCTGGGAAGTGTGAATCCACAGGGAGGGTGTGTCTGTGTCCCTTGACATTGGAACCCGTGTGACCCCTCTGTTACGGGTCCCCCGGGTTGGCCGCACACAGAGTGCGAAGTGAAGTTGCTGCAGGAGTAAGCCCCAGGGTGGGGCGTCGGGAAAGTAAGTGCACGGCCCGTGGGCTTGGCCGAGGCAGCTGGTAGAGCTCTCAGCTGCCTTCCCATCCAAGAAGGCCTCGCCAGCCCCTGAGCTCCTTGAAGAGGGACCAAGCTTTACTCACCACTGTAACCACAGTACCTAACACAGTGCTTGGCCCGTAGTAGGTCCTCGGTCCTTGTTTGCGGAGCTGAATTGAGACTTTGAGGCCCACTGACAGGGAGGCATGGCTGGCAGTGCAGACCCAAAGCCTGCATTCTGAGAGGCGCAAGCCTGAGGGCAGAAGTGCCCAGTCTCGGGGCTCAGGGGAGCTGGGGGCCAAACTTAGGTGCCTTGGGGGCAGCCAGGAACATTCAGGGTCCTTTCTGGCTGAGGACAGAAGGATGTCATCATTAAGCAAAGCAAACATGTTACTGACCCATAATCCCTTAAACCAGAGGATTCAGGAGGCGCCCGGTTGCCTTGGCAACTGGGTAGTGGCCAGTGACAGTGCTGAGAGCATCCTCTGGAATAGGCTGTGCCTGGTGCGTGGGTAAAAGCTGGGAGAGGGCACAGCGGGGCCCCTCCCATCACAGGACTGGCCCTGATGCCTTCTTGGCAGGTGAGGGTGGGGGCCCTCGTGGGACCTCTGGGACCCAGCCCCACTGCAGCTGGGGGGATGTGGGCAGAGCAGGATGAGAGGGCAGCCGCAGTGGGAATTTAGGAAACCATGGAGGGGAGGAAGAACAGCCCCAGTCTGGGTTTTCAGGGCAGGATGGAGAAGAAAGGGTCTGTGGGAAGAAGCGATACACAAATCTCTATGGGAGGCCAGCAGGGTGTCCCCTCTCTGAGAGGGCAAGAGGGCTGAGGGGCTGCAGTGAGAGAACCCCTTTTGGCTGGGGAAGGGCCCCAAGGGTGAGCAGAGAGGCCTGCCCCTCCCCCACTGTTTTCTCTCCTCCGGGTCCCTCTCTGTTTCCAGCCAATTTCTGTGTTTCCCCTGAGACCTTCAGCTGCCCCTGACCTCCCAGATTTCAGCTGGAGAGATGAGGCTGGGCCAGCTCAAATGCACACCCCTCCTCCCTCGTCTTTTTCCTCTGTTTTCTGTCTCCTGGGGACCCAGGACAAGCCAGAGAGGGACCTCCAGGTATTGGTAGTAGATGAGAGGGGGTTTGGACCACTCTCTGTCCCATTGATGCTTAGCTTCTGGGCATCAATTAATGAGGCTGACCAGCTGCTGACATGTCCGAGCTCGTGCACGCAACTGGCCAAGAGCTGCTGGTCAGAGGGCCACCTGGTCCTGGTGCCCTCCCTGCCATGCAGGCTTCCTTGTCACTTCATGCTGCCATCATGAGCCATCCTTTGTGGGTTTGACTGATCCAGCTTCTGAGCGTTTCCCCAGGGCAGGGAACCTGGGGGCACTCCCAGCGCGGCAGAGGGTCGGGACTTCTCCTCCGGGAGCTTGAACCCTGGCTGCCCAGCGCAGCGTGGCAGAGCATGCCGGGAAGATGAAGACTAAGGCCTGGAATTCACTTTGGGGGTCGACTGCCCCCCCCCCCCCCGCTGCTGTCTTGTTCTCATGGCTGGCTCTTCTCACTTCTCCCTTCTCAGCCCCTGCTGCCTGGTCCCTGCTGATCATGAATAAGATGAAGAACTTTAAGCGCCGCTTCTCCCTGTCTGTGCCCCGCACTGAGACCATCGAGGAGTCCTTGACTGAGTTCACAGAGCAGTTCACCCAGCTGCACAACCAGCGCAATGAGGGTGAGGGGGTGCGGCCTCCCACCCCGGCCCCCCCCCAAAGCCCCTCCTTGCCCTCCTTGACCGCACCTTCACTGCTGGCCTTGGGGGAGGACAGAGGGAAGACAAAGACTCCACCTCCCCTTGGGGCAGAGGGGCAGGGTGGGGAGCTGATGCCTCTCCCTCTCAGACCTGCAGCTCGGTCCTCTTGGCAGAGACCCACCGCCAGACTCCAGCACCTTCTCCCCGGCAGACAGTGGGGAGGAGCCCGGGCAGCCGTCCCCCAGCATGCAGTGCCGGCGGCAGAACCAGCGCCGCTTCTCCATGGAGGTGAGGGCTTGGGCTCGGGCTCGGGCTCTGTCCCATGGAGGTGGCAGCACGTGTCCCCTACTGTGTGCCCAGAAGGGTGGTGGCCTGGGACTCAGACTTCATGGGTTCAGGTTCCAGCTCCACCACTGATTAGCTCCGTGACCTTGAGGAAAGCTTCCCAATCTCTGTATGCCAGAGTCTCCTTGTGTTAAAATGGTCATTGTGAAGGTCAGGTGGGTTAATACATGCCAGGTGCTCGGGTCATTCCTGCTACATAGCAAGGGCTAGACAACTTGACTGTTGTTCTGTGACCCATATGTGTGACCCAAGTGTGTGAAAGGTGTGCTCCAGAATCGTGCTGTGTGCAGGGACCCCAGTCTGCAGATGGCGATACTGCTGGCCCAGAAAGGGGAAGCGGCCTCCAAAGGTCACACAGCCCCCAGCCCCTGGGCGTTCACAGATGTCTCTGAGCACATCATCGAAGTGGCTGTGAGCCTGGGGCCACAGCACGTGGCTTAGCCCTGCTGGGGTGGCTCTACAGGGAAAGCCAGGCCCAGGGTGAGAAGCGAGGGTCCCACAGCACTAGCTACCCTGGAGCAAACACTGGTGTCCATGTCTCATCCCGACCACTGCAGGACATCAGTAAGAGGCTCTCTTTGCCCATGGATATCCGCTTGCCCCAGGAATTCCTGCAGAAGCTACAGCTGGAGAGCCCAGACCTGCCCAAACCGCTCAGCCGCAGATCCCGCCGAGCATCCCTGGTGAGTCCCAGGATGGACACACACAGCAGCCTTGTAGCAGGTTCCCAGGAAGTTTCTGAGTGTCTAGCGCCACCTGCTGGTCACAGCAGGTCCACATAGACCTACCTCCTTGGTCAACATTCACTCCATAGATGGATCCCACCAGGGCTGGGGCTGACCCCTAAGCCTCCTCTGGACCCCAGGGTCTCCAGCCGGGTGAGATCAATAGACCAGCTGGTACATGCTGCCCATTCCTGGCTGCCTGTCAGGTTTCCTTGGGAGCATCTTCCAAACCATGGACTCCAGTCCCCACTCCAGATACCCACCGTGTCAGACTCTGGGTGGTAGGGCCCAGGAATCTATTGTTAAGATTTGGGTGTCAGTGAGCTAGGGGAGGTGTGCTGAGAGAGAGGCTATTTGGGGTGGTGGGCTCTGAACTGGACATCGAGGTACAGCAGAGAGAAAAGACAGTTCCTGGGGCTGGTAGTCTGAGCAAGATGGAGACAGACGGGGGGGAGGTGTGCTGAGGCCTCCCCAGGTGCTAGCGCCCTGGGCTCCACCTCCACCCCGCAGGGCAGGAAGCAACTCCCACCTGCAAGGGCATCCTCCTGCGCCACAGGAACGAGGGGGAGGGGAAGAGGAAGGACTTGTGGCTGTGCTAACCCCTGCGAGCCTCAGTTGTTCCTTCTTCCCGAGGGTGCCTCAGTTCCTGTCCTCCCGGAAGCTGGAGCAGGGAGGTGTAGTCTCGGGGCTGCTGGGGCCTCAAGCTCACAGGACCCTGTGTCTCTTCCTCTCAGTCAGATATCGGCTTTGGGAAACTGGAAACATATGTGAAACTGGACAAACTGGGGGAGGTAAGAGGCTGGGTTTGGTCTTCTCAGGGCAGCCAGCCAGGCGGGCTGGCTAGGAGGAGGATGGGTGTCCCCCACCCCTCCCCGACCTGCCCTCTCCCCGCACCTGCCCCACAGGGGCACACGATCGTGGCTGTGCAGCCAGGCTCAGCCTTTGGCAGGTGCTGAGGTGGGCCCGGGTCCTGGAGGAGGGCGTGAGGATGGAGTTGTCCATGGGTCCTGAGCTGGATCCAGGCTCTGCCCCCGCCACGCCCCCTGCCCCCCCCGCAAGTATTTCTTGTCTGAGTTTGAATCCCAGCTCTACTGTTCCCTAGCCTGGTGACCTTGGGCACATTATGTGACCTCTCTGCACCTGCCTTCCTTCCTTTGTCAAATGGGGCTCGTAACCGTTCCCCCTTACAGACTTGTTACACAGATTGAAGAGGTCCCTATGATGGCTTTTGTACAGCAAACACTTAGTGCCTGGTGTGTAGTTCAGTACTGTCAGCTGCTTCTGTAGTCACTGCCCCAGGCTTCCTCCCGGAGGTGGGGGTGGGCAAAGGTTCACAGAGAGGAGGAAGAAGGCCCTTTCCCTGCAGAAACCCGGGGAGACCAACACATAAACATCAGCCACAGGAAGAACCAACTGGCGCTATAATAGAGGGGCAGCTGGCCTGGGAGGAGTTAGGGGCAGCTTCACAGAGAAGGGAAGGGAAGAGAAGGGGGAAGGGCCCTCCGACTGAAGTCGCAGTCACAGCAGAGGCACAAAGAGGGGGCACCCGACCGAGGAGAGCCGGACCTGAGTGTTGCTGGGGCTCCTGGGCTGCTTTCCCAGGGCACCTACGCCACCGTCTTCAAAGGGCGCAGCAAGCTGACGGAGAACCTCGTGGCCCTAAAGGAGATCCGGCTGGAGCACGAGGAGGGGGCGCCCTGCACAGCCATCCGCGAGGGTACAGCACCCTAGGGTCCCCAACTCCTGAGCACTCCTGGGAGGAGGGGTTCATTGGCCGCGGCCCTGGCGGGAGCCTGGGGTGAAAGGGCACTACAGGAGCGGGGACAGGGGGCTGACCTCAGGAAGGGACCCAGGTGGGCCTGTCTCCCCACAGTGTCTCTACTGAAGAACCTGAAGCATGCCAATATTGTCACCCTGCATGACCTCATCCACACGGAGCGGTCCCTCACCCTGGTGTTTGAGTACCTGGTGAGCTGGGACCTTCCTCCCTTTGTGGTGGGGGCGGGATGACAAGGGTGATGGAGATGGGGGGTGCCCCGGGCCTTGCTCTAAAATCCGGCTCTCAGATATTTCCAGATAGGAGTGGGCTGAGGCCCAGGCCTAGGGGCAGCTTGGAGCCAGGGACCTGTCCCATTCCTGGGCTTGGGCCCTAGCCAGGGAGGGGCTTCCGGCCAGGGGTCAGGACCAGCCATGGCTGAGCCAGGCTCTGTGTTCCAGGACAGTGACCTGAAGCAGTATCTGGACCACTGCGGAAACCTCATGAGCATGCACAATGTCAAGGTGAGGGACCCCACACGTTTAGGCCCCTGCTTATCTTGGCACCCACCTGTTCTCAAGTCCAGCATAGGAACCCACTCTCACCACCAGGGACCAGCTGCTGAGGTTGCTTAGACCTTCTGTGTAGGACGGAGGGAAGGAGCAGTGCCCTTCAGAGAGGGCGGGGCCCCGTGCTGAGCGCCTGACCCGCCACACAGACGCGTACCCTCAGCCACCCCCTAGCTGTGGATGCAGTATAACCCCTCCCAACTCTGAGCATCAGTTTTCCCATCTGTCAGATGAGAGCCTCGGTTACCTGCTAGGATGAGGGAGGCCTCTGGGGAAGCTCAGAAGGATGAATGATCTGCGGTGTGTACCAGAATCAGGCACTTGCACGTGGTGGGCTTCCCAGCCCCTCATGGTCCCTCAGCTCCCAGGCTGGAGAACCACCTGTCCCCCACCCCCCGTCCTTCCCACCTCCTCTGCACACCTGGTGCCCTCCCCTCCGGACGGGGTTCCCTGGGGTGATGGGGCTGCAGTGTGGGCAAGGCAGCACTCCAGGTCCCTCACCCCTGCCCAGTCCCTGTCCCCATCTGCGTCCCAGCTGTGGGGCAGGGGCGCAGGGTCTCCCAGATGGGACACGTTCCCACCTTTCACTGCTCCCCCTGCTCTTTCCTCCTGCCTCAGATTTTCATGTTCCAGCTGCTCCGGGGCCTTGCCTACTGCCACCGCCGCAAAATCCTGCACCGGGACCTGAAGCCCCAGAACCTGCTCATCAACGAGAGGGGCGAGCTGAAGCTGGCTGACTTCGGTGAGGGCCGGAGCCCCCAGGGCCAGGTGGGGTCGGCCAGTCTCCTTAGAATGTGAGTGCCGTTGAGAGGAGGGGTTCAGCGACCTGTCTGTCCCTAGGGCTGGCCAGGGCCAAGTCAGTGCCCACGAAGACCTACTCCAATGAGGTGGTGACCCTGTGGTACAGGCCCCCCGACGTGCTGCTGGGGTCCACAGAGTACTCCACCCCCATTGACATGTGGTGAGTGAGTGTCACGGGACCTGGGGCAGGGGGGCCTTCCACACCACAGACTCCCCGTCGCTGCCCAAGTCCGCCTGTGAAGGGCAGCCTCGCCTCCTGTGACCAGGGGCCCTGCGGCAGCCTGTCGGACTGGCTGTTAAAGGATGAAGTCTGCGCCACATTGGGGTTCCTGTCTCTAATCAGACCCTCCAAGCCGTGCTTGTGAAACAGCCCCCGGGGCCGCCAGGGGGTTATGGAGGGCACAGGAGGCCCCCCCCCCCCGAATGAATATGACAGCCCTTCCCCAAACATCAGTCCTCCTGAAAGTTTTGGAAAGAATATATTCTTAAAACGAGCATGGGTATTGTGTATTGTTGTAGGATGAATTTTAAAACCGAAACGCAGGTTTCCCAGGAGCGGCCCCTGCACCCTGGGCCGCGTCCTCTAGGAAAATGGGTTTAAGGCTTCTCTTCCGGTGGGAACGCACCATGTGGAAAACGTTTGAGAACGCCGCTTAGAGAACTGTCGCAGAGTGACAGGGGAGTGGTCAGAGCGTCCTGGAGCCTGGAGACGCCCCCAGAGAGGGGCTTCAGTGGGGGGCTTGGCTGTGCTAGGAGCCCCTGCTGTCCTGGACCTGCGTGCCAGGACCTGTGGGAGCCGCCATGGGGCAGGGCGTCGCAGTGGAGCAGCCCTCGGAAGGGTGGGTGCGAGGAGGCCCAGCCTGACGCGCCCCTGCCCCTTGCTCCCCGCAGGGGCGTGGGCTGCATTCACTACGAGATGGCCACAGGGAGGCCCCTCTTCCCCGGCTCCACAGTCAAGGAGGAGCTGCACCTCATCTTTCGACTCCTCGGTCAGTCTCCTGCGCTCCCCCAAAACGGCCACTAGGGGCGTCAGAACTCTATCTAGCCCTGGCGCATAAAGGGACTGGGAAGAGCGGCTGCACCTGTGGCCTTGGCCATTTTCTGCCTCACCCCTACATTGCACGCCTCCCAGTCACCCTTGGCCCTGGCTCCTTACCATGCCTCCCCACCCCCTTTTGTCTCCCCAGGGACCCCTGTAGAAGAGACATGGCCTGGCGTGATGGCCCTGTCTGAGTTCCGTGCCTATAACTTCCCCCGGTACCTCCCCCAGCCGCTCATCAGCCACGCTCCCAGGTAGCCTGCCTCCCCACACCTCTCCTGCCTGCGGTCCTGGCTGTCCAGTCTTGAGGGGGCCACCCACCCCCACCCTCCCCTCCCCACCCAGGCCAGGCCTGTGCCAGCTCCTTCCTCCTGCAGGTTGGACTCTGATGGCATCAACCTCCTGACCAGCCTTCTCCTGGTGAGTGTGCCCTCAGCTGGGTGCAGGAATGGGCACCAAAGACTGCTGAAGTCCTAAAACCCCCACTCCGGCCCTCTGCCCACTTCTGTGCTCATGCTCTCGAGTCTGAACTGCCCCCCACCCTGCCCTCCACCCCACCCCCAGCTAGGCCCAGAGGAGCACCAGTGTCCCCAGACTCAGAGCAGGTGCACTCTGAATTCAAACCGCAGTGCAAACCCACTCACTCGCTTGAAAGCTACAGAACTTTTCTGTGCTTCCGTTTCCTCAGCGGCAAAGTGGGATTAATCTTCCACGTTTTATGAGATGGCAGTGAGGCTAAACTGAGGTTGGGGGACACCCTCAAAGTGAGGCATGGCATGGAGGAAGCACACCACAGAGGGTATGTGTTGGTGTTCCGTGGTGGTGTTACTATTATTAATGGTATGGTCGTGGTTGCTTTAGCATCTGCATTCCTATCCCAAGAAGAGGCACTGTCCTGAAGTCCTGTTTCTGGCTTTCTCCTGGTGAGAGGTGGGAGCTGGCACATTTGACCCCAGGGGCTTCTGGGCTTAGACTCAAGCCCCTCCATTTTGACCCTCTAACTTGGCATACGAGTAGCACTTCCCAAAGGGGTCCCTGCAGCCCCCCAGCCAGGACCCAACAGACTCCTGTGCTTTTCAGTATGAATCGAAGAGTCGCATATCAGCAGAGGCAGCGCTGAACCACCCCTACTTCTGGTCTCTGGGAGAGCGGGTGCACCAGCTCGAAGACAGTGAGTGTCCAGGGGAGGTTGGGGGAGGGAGCAAGGGCACCCCAGAACCAGGAAAGGTGGCAGCAGGTGTGAGTGGAGGAACTATAGCAAAAAGGCCAGAGGCCCTCGGTCTAGCTGAGCAGCCTTGGGCACGTGACTTCCCCTCCTTGGGTTCTCATTTGTGGCTAAGGGGCCAAACCATGGCACTGAGTTTCTGCCCGAAATGCCTAGTTAGCTGCTCCTGGCCAGTCCTAGATGAAGGGGGTCCCCAGCCACGGGGTGCACCCAGATCCAGGCACTCAACGGGCGTGGGGGCCACAGGCTCGAGGAGCAGGGCCGGCTCCACTCAGGTCTCTCCCTGCCTTCCTCCCGTCTCACTGCAGCTGCCTCCATCTTCTCCCTGAAGGAGATCCAGCTCCAGAAGGACCCGGGCTGCCGGGGCCTGGCCTTTCAGCAGCCAGGTAGGGCCCTGTGCCTCCGCCACCGCCCCTCACTGCAGAAGACCAGGACAGGCTGCTCCTCCCCCCGGAGGAACAGAGATGGGGCCCAGCAGCCCCTCGTGCGATGGGAAATCAGCATGGCCTCCCTTCCGGGGGCCCATGGGGAGCAGGGAAGGGGTGGGTTTCCCTATCTCTGGCTCAGGCTTCCTCCTCTCATGTCTCCCTCCTCAACCCCCACCCTAGATAGAACGGGGCTGCATCTAACAAAGCCCCGATGAAGGTACGTGCTCTCTCTGGTGTGTTCTCTCTGCAAGTCCTGAGCTCTCCAAGTAGCCTGCACCTTGGAGAACTGTCGGAGAACTGTACTTTGTCCCTAAACTAGCTGATGGCCTTGGAAAGTGCCAGGCACTTTCCATGCATCGTCTCATTGAATCCTTTGAACCCCTTGAAGTCAATACTATTAATGCTCCCCAGTCAGTGAAACTGAGGCTGTGAGCGGTTCAGACACGATTTCGTGCAGCTCCTGAGTAGCCAAGACAGGACTTGAATCCAGGACTGACCAGTTTCCAGGCGTGTACTCTTGCTCACTCTATCCACAGCTCTGGAGCATGCCCCTCCCCCCGGCCCAGCCTCCTCCCTGCAGTCTCCCTCTTCCCCTCTTTTCTCCAGGTCGAGGGAAGAACCGGCGACAGAGCATCTTCTGAGCTGTGCCCACCCGACTGTGGCTCTTGGGATGAGAAGTTGCACTGACCACAACTGCAGGCAGGAGGGGGCTTCTGCGGCCCTTGGAGGACTGAGAAACGAGGGCTAAGGCTGGCCCAGAAGACGTCTTGCAGCTCTGCTGGCCACAGCTGGGTCCTGACCCTGCTTCCCACATGTCTCCCCAGTGGCCTTTGCTTGGACACCAAACCCTCTACCACCTGCCCTGAGAGGAGGTGAGATGGAAGGGAGGGACCTTGGACTCTTTCCCACCCCGAAGTCCTCGGGCATCCACATGGGACCCACAGGGACAGGAGAATCCAGCTGCGGGCCAAGCAATGTGCCCTGGACATGGGCACCACCGCGCATCCCCCAGAGGCCCGCCTGTGTCACCAGTTTGGTGGAGCCCCTTACGGGAACCTTGGAGCCCACACACCTTTCACCTTCTTCCCCTCTGAGAGCAGGAAGCAGTGTGGCACCTTTTCCAGGACCCTGGAATCCTTGGTACCAGTGTGTGTGCCAAAGCCCACCCCCCACCTGAGGAGCGGGTGTCCCTGTAGCAGCAGGGCAACAGCAGCCCATCCCCACTCCCAGTCATAACCCCACCCTGTTCACGTTCCCCCTCCTTGCCAGAGTCCCCCTATGCTGCTGGACGCCCAGCTGAGTCCGGAGGCAGCCAGCTGCACTCCTGCGCCTCCGCCGCCCCGCCCGTCTCCTTAGCCTGAATGGGACTGCCTGAAGGTGGTGGGTGGTGCAGCACTCACTGCCCTTGGAGCGCTGGCCCAGGCTCCTACCTGTCCACCCCTTCCAGAGAGCGGCTGCTGCTTATCACGTCTGAGTGCTGATAAGCCAGCCCTGGGCTAGGGTCCTGAGCACAGCACCCAGATATGCAGGGTCACTCTGACATTGGTGCCAGCCTGGCCTCAGTTCTTTAGGGCTGGTGCAGCCTCCCCTGTCCCCTCCTTCCCAGCCCGTGTGGCCCTGTCCTTGTCACACCCAGTCCTGGCGTCACCAAAGGGTGGTCACGAGAAGGCAGGTGTAAATGCCACGGTGACGTAGAGGACAGTGGGATGGGACAGGACAGGCTCGGATCCCGAGAGCCCCACCCCAGGGGGCTGGGAGTGTGAGGGGCCGGGGCTCCTGAAGGAGGCACTCCTTGCCACCCCTTCGGAGCGTGCCTGTTGTGTCCCCAAGGGCGCCTCCACACTCGGCCGGCCGCGTCTTGAATAGCCAGGCCAGGCGGGGGCCCAGGTCCGACCTGTCTGTACCGACCCGGCCCAGCCGCACCCCTCAGCCTGAGGCGTGGCCCTGGAGGGCCTTTGCCTCCCTGTGAGCCCCTCCACTTCTCATCCAGGGTACTGTGAAGGTCCTGTGACTCAGCCAAAGACAGGTGACATATTTAATTCATGTACTGAAAGGAGCAGGCATTCACATGCAGAAAAGCTGAATTTGACAGACTGATGCCAAAGATGGAGGCCTTCTCTGGGTCTCAGGATGCGGGTAGGCTTGTGTGTGTGTGTGGGTGTATGTGTGTGTATAAAGTGCAGAGAGAGTTAGATTTGTGTGTGTCTCTGAACCCACCTGGGCTGTAGGAGGGGTGCCCTCCACCCTCCCTGCTGTGTTTTGGATGCTGCTTCGTTTAGGACAGGAGGTCAACTCTGGGTGTTGTGGGTGGGCGAGGAGGAGGCCCACCTCCCGCCTTGGCCCAGGCGGTGCCTGAGGCCAGGACAGTGACCACAGGGTCCGGGGAGGGTCTGCCTTCTGTCTGCTGGAACCAGCCCCTGTTCTCCCCCAACCAGGTGGCTCCCTGACTTCTTGGGAGGGAGGGAGATTCAAAAGGGTTGACATAGTGGATGGCCAAGGCCAGGGCAGCAAAACTAGGTCCAAACCTCACAGTGATTCTGGACCATCTGGACTCCATGTCCCCAGGGCTGCCCAGACCGCCTCTCACCCCATGTGAGGCTCCCGAGCCACTCCCGACCTCCCTGTTCAGCAGACTCACCTGGGGTGGCCGCTTTCCCGAGGAGGAGGCTGGTACTGAGAGGTGGGTGACGTCTCCCAAGGCCCTGGAAGGAAAGAGTGGACAAGGACTTGATGCTGGGCCACCAGGTCAGCAGCCTAGGCCTCCTCATCCTTTTGCAGACAGCCAGTCTCCACACTGTATGTAGGACAGTCCGCGCTCCGTGAGAGGGCAGGAGGCTGGATGGGACCCGATGTTCATGAAGCTCCGTGCAATGTACCAGTCCGTGCGTAGAGGCGTCTCCTGAGCCTCACGATGGTCCCATTTCTCCCCCCTTTGCAGGTGAGAACAGTGAGGTTCCCAGCCTTGAAAGACTTGTCTGGGGTCATGTAGCAAATTAGAACCCCAGGTCTGTCTGCCATCCCAGCCCTTGGTCTTCAGGGAGGGGTGGGAGTGGAGAAGGGGGAGGTGCAGACAGTGTGGAGTCCCAGGAACCTGGGCAACCAGGGTAGGATCCAAGGCAGACCCTGCTTTGCTGGAGCACCTTGCAAGACCACCACTGAGACAGAGGCAGTGGCCGCCCGCCAGTTCACAGAGGCCCCTGCCCCTTTAAGAGTCTTCCTTGGGGGGTGCTGATCTTGCTGTCTCAGCTTCAGGACTTTGCTAAGGCTCATGTGGACTGGGGGACTTAAGAAGCACTCTGAGTTTCTGCCCTAGAAGCCTGGAGAGCTCAGCTGGACAGGCTTACACTATGTAGTTAGTGCTCAGAAGCCTTCAGTGGGAAAACGAAGGTTTCAGAAAAGGAAGCTGAAAGGAAGCTGGAGGGGCCTGGTGGCTGGTTACCACCCACCAGGGCAGAGCTGTGAGGGCTGCCAGCGGGCTCTGTAGTGGCCACATGGCCACAACACAGGGCCTGCGGCCTGGAACCCTCTGTTTCCTGGGCACCCCACCCCCCACCACCCCACCATCACGTCCTGCCTCCTGGTGGCTCTTACAAACAGGGGCCTGCCCCATTCAGTGGGAGTCTGGGGCTCAAGTCCCCTTTAGCGAGTCATTTCCCCCTCTGGCCTCACTTTGCCGTCTGCTTATGGCATGGGTCAGGAATGCCCAGGGGCCTGACTGGCCCTTCCCTTCACCTGACCACTGGCAGGAGCCCTGCAGTGCCTGAGGGAAGGTCCTGTTTGCAAGGGAGGCGGTGGCACCAGATCGCATGCTGGGTCCTGACCCACATCAGCTCCCACACAGATGGGACCTGGGGCCGGCTCTCCTCTGCCCCTCCCTCCTTCCCCACTTCCTGTGGGCTCACAGTCACCCTGTCCCTACGGTCTGGTCTGAGCCCTGTGATTGGGGCTGATGCCCAACCATTTGCTTTGTCCTGTTAGGCTACCTGGGCCAGCCAAGGGCTGGACACTGTTGCCAGACTTCCTCCTTTCCTTCTCGAAGCAGCTTAGCCCCTTTGGCCCATCTTTGTCCTGACCCCTTCTTCTAGTCTTGACCCTCTGCAGCACCCCCATGAGCCCCTCTGTCTCCAAAGCAAATGGTTGGCACCTTGCATTGGTCACAGCCAGGCCCTGTGCTGGGCATCAGGACACTACGACGTATGACTCCACCCTCGCCTCCCAGCAGCAGACCCGCTGGTGGAGATGGCCTGTCTTACAGCAGACTTCCATCAAGCACGCACTGCGTGCCAGGCACTGTTAGGCCCCAAGAAGGGGGCAGTGAGCAGGACCACCATGTCTTCACTCTCGGAGCTTAGAAAGACTCCACCCAGATGAGCACACATCCATCGAGGGGTCAAGTGTGATGAAGCAAAACCAAGCTGGGTCAGGGAGATGCGATGGCACAGGGTGAGGGGCTTCTCTGATAAGTTCGGGGTGAGCCCTGGGGTCCCCTGAGGACAGAGTATTCGCACAGCCGCGGGCAGAGTGGCAGGCGGGCTGGCTCCCGCCTCATCTGGGGTGGCGGCTCTTCCCCGGAGATCCAGCAAAGACCCATCACCCCGATTTTCTGCTGGCAGGACCAGGCATCGGTAGTTCTTGAGAAGCTCCCCAGATCCCCCTGATGTATGGCTAGAGTTGAGAATTCCTCAGGTGGGGCCTTGTGGGACGTGGGAGGGGTTCCGGATTTCTTTCTGAGATCAGAAGCCACTGACCTCGGTTTTTCCACGCTCGAGAGGTGGACAGAAGCTGTCAGGGCCCAGCTCCAGTGACCATGTCCCAGCTCTCCCCAGACCGGATGGGCGGGGCAGAGGGCAGCCCTGATGGGACGGCAGATGCCCTTTGTCCACTGCCTTCTGTGCTTGTCGTCCTTTCCTCCTCTCCCTCCCGCCCTCCGTCTCTCCTACCTGTCCCCCTTTCCCACCGTTGCTGGCTTTTCTTGCCCACCCCTCCTTCCTCTTCTGGGAGTGGCCCTGGTCACACTGACACCCAGAGAGCAAGCCTGTCACCTGCCCTCTGCCCCGAGGAAGAAGACCGCAGCCTCTCCTCACTGTCCACCCCGAGCCTCACTCCCCAGAAGAGTTTTCTTGATGTCCAGCCTTATCCCCCTCTCCTGCGCGCCGGTCCTTGTCCTAGGACGGCAGCACGAGGCATGGGTGCCGAGGCCGTGGCTGTGTGGCGGCGCTGCCCTCCCGGGTGCACTCAGCCCTCCTCCTTGCCCGAAGCTTCTGGGCCAGCGCCTCATCTTCCCGTCTCCTCCCGAGCGCCTTTCCTCTTTCATCACTGGCCTGAGGAGCCCCGACTCGGCACCAGACGGTTCCAGGACCCAAGATGCACACACGACAGACTCGGCCCCCTCACAGGCACTCGGCACCTGGAGTCCCCAGGACGTGGTCTTCACTTCCTCCTGTGAGGGCACAGTCACCTGGGGGGCAGGGAATTGTCTACTGGGCATTCTCTTAAAATTTACCAATTTTTTGAAAAAAACCTCAGATACAACAAAAACTCTTCATGCCATCTGTGTCTTCCCAGGAGGAGGGACTGGCTGGGCGCTGGGTTCCTGGGGAGGAGTCTTGCACAGCCCAGGCTCCAAAGCACACAGACTTAGATTCAGATCCCAGCTCTGCTGCTTGAAAGCTGTGTTACCTCCAGCGCGTGACTTAACCTCTCTGTGCCACGGTTTCCTTTTTAACATGATAATGATAACACCCTTTTCACAGGGTAAGCGGTAGCATTCACATCTCCCTGCACACGCCCACCCCCTCCTCCACCACAGACATTCCAGCTTTGCCGGGGAGCCAGTCCTGGCACTAAAATCGGGTCATACTTTTGCTTTTCTTGCTTTCTTTACCCTTGGTAAGATCTCCATTACAAGAACGTATTAAGCGTATTCTAACTAAATGATTCTGTGAGACTTTAAAAAGAGGACCTCTGTCCTGAGTTTTGTCTCTAGAGTTTTACATGCAGCTGGCGAAGCGGACATTGGAGGAGAGTCGACAGTAAAAAGCATCAGGTCACAGGTGGCACTCAAAGTGGACCAGTTGCCTTCTGAGATAGTGAGCCCTCTGTCCCAAGGGACATCCAAGCAGGGGCTGGGAGACCACTTCATGGGAACTCCGGGGGCATGCACTTCCACTGGGAAGCCTCACCAGGTTTCAGAGGAAGGGGCCCACTTGAGGTCGGCCTGGTCTGCGCCTGGTCTGACCATGTGCCTTGGGTCTCTACTCTGCCAGGAGGGCAGCAAGGTATGACGTGCCGGTGAGAAGCGCTGCCCAGAGAAGCCGAGAGGGATGCGGCTTCTGGGCTGGCAAGCTCCCTCCTCTTGGATTTCAAGGTGCCTGGGCCTCTTCCCGCTCTGGCTGCTCACTTGGAGGCCAGACTTCCTTGGGCTTTCAAGGCCTGGGTCTGACTAGGGTGTGGGAATGAACCAACCTGGGATCCCTAAAGCCAGAGCTGATGGGGGGGCGGGGGGGGACTACTGTGGGGAAGTGGGGACGGGCCCAGGGGTTCGGGCCCGGTTCTGTGTCCTGCCTTGGGCAGATGCAAGGTTGCCCTCAGCCACTTGTGACCTACACCTCCAGGCAAGTGCTGTACTTGGCAATGAAGCTGGCTGCTCAGCTTCATGGCGCCAGAAGAGCGGGGAGGGCTGGGGTCCCTAAGCAAGGGAGGCAGTACAGTGCAGGGTCGAAACTCAGCGGCCTCGGTGTGAATGCTGGCTCCACCCCCTCCTAGTTCTGGGGCCACAAGCCTCAGTTTCCCTTCTCGAAATGAGGTGACCATAGAAGTAGTGTGGAGGTGGAGTTAACATGTGGAAAGCTCCCAGAATCTTTGGCCACATAGAAAGCACCACGTAAGTGCTGGCTGCTATGTCATCTGTCCCCCAGGTAGAAGCAGGCCTCACTCACGGGACAGGGAGAGGGCTGCCTGGGGCCCAGGGGTGGATGAAAGCCCTTCTGTCTATGGGGGCCACCTGTCCTCCCAACTGCCACCGGACTTCAGAATTTTCATGTCTCTTACCCTAATAGATGTATGTGTTAGACAAAGGACTGTGAGCTGAACAAACATTATCTAAGTTTTTTAAAAATTCCGACATTTAAAAAAAAATCTCCTTGGCCCAAACTACTCTGTGAAACACTAAAGATTCAGAAATAATTAAAGA